TAAACATTTTCAGATTAAATAAACTGCACTGTGATTTGAAACAACTTGGAAAAGAGGTAGAAGAAATTCATATAAGAATCTTCAATATGCTATGAATTTAATTTCAGTGTTCCATCCCCTTTTTTAAAATAAAGGCAATGCAGAGAGTATTAGCATTCCCCCCTGCAGAGACTCCTATTTTCACTAGAGCATTTTAATGTTTTAATAATTCTAAAATAATAAATCTGCTCTTTGCATCCCCACACAACTGGTGCATTATTAGCATTGAAATGAAAATGTTAATAAGTTCTGACATTAAAATGCTAAATAGATACATCAGCCATCACTAGAATGCCATCACTTTGAGTAAATACATCTTTATGTTTTCTCTTATCTACAATGAAGATGTGAAAGCTCCAATGAGAAGCTTTAGAACTTCACATGGGAATGGAAACTACCATTCAATAGCTAAATGAAAGCAGCCAAGGCACATGAAGTTGATAACATTTAAGGGGGCACGTCAAGGGAAATATGTTTTTTCCTACCCCCCTCCTCTGCCAGTGTGTTCTATTTCATGCAGAACCAAAATTAGCAACATTGTAAACCAGAAATCCACCAATACAGAAACATATGCGACTACTGTGTATTACATTTAAATAAGTAATGGATAGTGGCACAGTAATGTAATGGCTGCTGAGCCATGCAGTTTGTCAGCAAGGGAATACATGGCATAACAAACAGAATTGGCACCTGCAGGAGAACAAGGGACTGGGCACACTGTTCCAGAAGCAGGGGTGGGAGCAGTTTCCAAGAACAGAGAGGAACAGTTTTATCCATGCTGGGAACTCCTACAATGTCCCCAGCTGAGCTGCTGCCACCACTGTTGCATATTCTAGCCACTCCAGCTGTTGCTTTTAAAAGAAGCAGCAGCAGTCGAGGCCTGTTTTGGAGTTCCCCACATGGTAACTGCCAGGGCATGGATTCTGCAAGGGTGGGAGGTGCCTTTTCTAACTTGGTGCCCAGGGTGAGTGCCCCTTTTACCCACGCCTAGTTACGCTACTGAGAATGGTAGATTTTCAGACACTCAGATGATGAAGAATTGAAAGAGAACTTGTGGGTTACTACTTCACAGAACCGCAGTTTAAATCAATAAAAATCAAAGCTAAACCCTGTTAAAGGGGGCTGCTTCTATTCTATAGTTTAAAACAGTGTTTAGTCAGAAAAAAAGTCAAAACATGTTTTAAGATGCAATAAACATCTTACAGATGGATTGTTCTGTAAGGAGATTCCATTTCACCAAGTCTGGGGCACACACTCCCAACATGCGCATACATAGTTTTTATTTCACACCCTTTAGATTGGTAATGAAACCATTACTGGTTAGTATGCCAGCCATTTTAATTAGTATGCAGCCTCTCAGCTCCTGCATCCTTGCTAAGAAGATTCTTTGGCCCTGCAATACCAGAAGAGTCTTGAAATACAATATCAATGAACAGAACAAAGAAAGCATGCATATTGATAACTGGTGTACACTGGCAACTTAGGATATTTTTAAAATGTTACTAGTAGGGAGCACCTCTACAAGAATTAAAATGCAAAGAACTGTGGGGTAGTCTGAGTAACAAAGTGACTTGATGGAAAATACTGGTGTTGATAGAAACATAGCATTGGGACCAAAGACTTTATAAATATTCTGACGTTAAATAGGCCTTCCATGCCAACTTGGATTTGGCTTTATTTTTATTTTGATTACTGTTCCAAAAGTTGAAAGCTGAATACGGTTTTAAGGAGATACAACTTCATCCACAAAGGACTCCATTTCTTCTGGCTTAGTTTAGGTGATACATTTATTAAATTAGAATGAAAAAGTCAAAATATATTTTACAATGCAAGAAACACATTTGGACACTTGACCTCAATACAGTGAGAGTCAATGTCTGCGGAATAACAGCAAAAAAACAAAAACAAAAAAATCCTCTGAACAGTATTACAGGTCAACCAACACAAGTAGTAATATTTGCAGAGGGAAAATGTTCAGTACCTTCAACATACACAAACAGCAGCTTAAGATAAAGTAGCAAGGATCTAGCTAGACAAAAATATTCCTCTAAATTTAGGCCCTAGCAGCACTTTAACTTCTAGCAGATGCCAGTATTATGCAGCTGGCTTTGGCTCCAGGCTGCTCTAACCTGCTGAGTATGAAACAGTTACGGATGAGAAGACATTGCTCTATTAAATGAAACATATGCCACAAGCTGAACAATAACAAGTGTGACCGCATTTATTTAAACAAAACAGCAAAATAATGCCTTTGAGTTCTACATTTCTGGACAATCAAGTGATGACAAGGACTAGCCAAAGCTTTTTTCATGTCCCTCAGACCCAAGGTAGACAACAGTTTGAACAATTGAGGGGATACATATATTAAAGAAACTGAGCAGGGTTTGTAACACTTTGTTAATGTTAAATGAGAAAGATAAAACACAGTAAAGTACATCCTGAAGACTTACTTTCATACCTATAATGTTTTACTTTTATTGAATTCAAGTCTCCAAGCCAAACTGGAAACAATGCATAAGAAAAATAATGCAAAGCACAACTTAGTGGCCTTTCTGCTCTGACCTAAACTACCCATCTTTGATCTATGCAGCTTCTCTTTAAAATACTTGGTATAACAAAAGCTTCAAGAGAGAGAGGGAAAGACTTCTGAAGTATGTCTAGGTGTTTCACAAAGACCTACGGTTCAATTTCTGGATGAACATGTTTAATCTAACAACCTCGTTTCTTTCTTCCAGGAGAACTGAGAGGTGTTTATTTCATGCTTACAATTCAGTCACAAGATTAGCAATACAATCTTGATGAAGTTAAACCTTTTTCACCCATGATAAAGCTGAACTAAGTTCACTTGCTTTATTTAAGGAAAAAAAAAAAAACTAAAACAAAAAACCTGCTCCTATGAACTCCAGCTATAGGTAACTAGAATATGATGTACATTTTCCCCAAATTGTTCTACCCTTTAGCAATTCAAGGGGCTATTCCTAGAGATGGAAACAGGCGTTAAAGCTTTTAACAGTATTTACAGGCAGTCATTTGCTGCTGCCTATGCTGGCATTCCCACAAAGAGTCATTGCTATGAAGATAAAGGCCAAATGTTATTTTAATGCTAACCAGAAAACTCAATATGTGATCATATAGGCTAAGTGACACAAGGGCTAAGACGATATATTCCTGATGAACACCCCTTTCAAGAAAAAAAAAAAGAAAAATGTAATCATTGTACTGATACAATGCACAAGGAAAGACTGTAGCCTTAAAATCTCAGCAGGCAAAACCAATGGGAGAACATATGAAGAGAAAGTTAATTTTTTTTCAAAACAAAACAAAGTGTGCCAACTAAAGCAGTGTCAGCTGAGACATCATGAGAAGAAGCTTCAAAAAAAAAAAAAAAAAAAAAAAAAAAAAAAAAAAAAAACAAGAAGCCATTAGAAAGGAAAATCGTTTTGGTACTGTCAATTTAAAACTATTTCAACACACACTTCTTAATCATAAAAAAATAAATATTTATAAACTATTGCTGGCTCTGCCAGAAAACTTCCTGAAGGTATTGGAGAAAAGTTTATTTTAGTGGATATGAAAGAGCATCTTATGTATGTGGGAGAAAACAGGTAGAGAAGAGAGAATAAGGGCCTATATTTCCTTATTCCAAACCTGGCTTAAGAGTTCTCATGAACCACTCTTGAGATCCTGTATTTTAAGTGTACATTCCAACACTTGCAAAATACAAGCTATGGCTATTATAGAAAGTATCTGAAAACAATTTTAAAAGATGCCAAGATAAGTGACATTGCACAAGATCAGAAAATAAATTTGTGCATAAAGTGCATTACATTGCCATTAAAAAAAAAAAAAGAGAGATGTTACAAATTTATACAACAGGCAAAAATTTTGCCCTTTACGAACATTCTGCAGGTTCAAGCTGCAACATGCATGCATGTTCACGCTTGAAAAAATTATAGGCAATACACTTCCTTCTTATAAGAACCTGCTAATACAGGATATGTCAAATATTCTACCACCTTACTGAAAATATTTTAGTCAGGTATGCATCAAATTCAACTGAATTAGGTAGATTAACTGTAATCCAATGAATTTATGAGGACAGTGCATATACCTGTTGAAGATTCTGCATCTACTCTTCCCACTCCTTATATTTCAGACTACCAAAACCAGTTTCTTCATTAAATTTTTCTGCAATGCAACATGAGTTTTCTGAAATACAGGAGTGTAGAAACTTTCTTTTTTAAAACAAAGGTTCTTTATATATACACAAAAATGACTATTTGTTGATACAAAGTTCCATGACGAAGTGTTTATTTCATACTTCGTTAGTTTTCCAGGCATTTAAAAAAAAACCCCAAAAAACACCTTTTCCTTCTGCAGTCATCCTTTGGAATAATCACAGGAATGTAGAAACAAGAAGAGTGCAAGTAACCACAGGAGCACAATAAGGCTCAATCCCATCTTCTGCTACAGCAAGATATGCTGTACCTGGAAAGTGGTGTGTTGCAGCTTTCACAAGCACAGCAACACTGCCACGTTTCAGGATTAAGCCCTAAATGCTTACCATATTATAAATATTGCTTTGGTGCCCAATCACTAGCTTGGAGGGAATAATCTAATTAGAAACACTTAAGGCTACAAGAAAGCCAGCTTCTTAGTAGATTTAAAATTATATGTGTTAAGGACAGTTGGATTTATCACAGCAATAGATAAATACCACAGAAAAAGTCAAGAGTATCATGTAATCATTTTTGTATCTCTGGCAGAGAAACAGACTGCTTACTAAAAGAGAACATTTGAATAAAAAACAGTGTACAAAGAAGCAAACACTCTACCCCTCAAAAATATAACTCTTCCTAGCTCACAGCCAGTAGTAAATCCTGTACTGCATAGTGTTAGATAAATATAAAACATGCCTGGTTTTTTTTTTCTTTCCAA